ATAGTAACTGGAGAGTTATTAGTTATCATTTAGTGATGCTTTATAACTATTAATGTTATTCTTGCTAATCAGTCATTGACAAATAAGAGTGTCCATGATAAAAAAGGAAAATCTTTTAATCTAGCTCGTCAAGATGTTTTTAAAAATGAAACTGAATCCATGAATTATCTTTGTCTTCTCATAATTTGTTCTATTTATCTATTGACTTTTCCCCTGCAGGTTGGTTGCAACAGTGTTATTTTAGTACCACTGAAATACTATTCTAGTGTTTTTGTTTTTTTTGTTACATTTTTTTATGTGTTTTTGTTATTTTAATTTTTTTTTGTTTTTTTATGTCTTTTTATTAAGTTTTTATTTATTTGGTTTAAGTTACTTAAACTATAGAGAGAAAATTGAGAAATGTTGCCTTGGCAATTAGTTGAAATAAAGTTATTTATAAATAATATTTTTTATTATTTATAGTAATTAGTTATTAGTTATTAATAAATAAAAATATTTGTAAAAAAATAATAGATGTTCTTTTCAAGAATTTACTTTTTATTATTTTTTGTTATTAATTATTACTTTTTATGAATTTATTTTTGAATCTATTTTTTTAATTTGTATTTTTTTATATTTATTTTTAACTTTATGTTCCCCCTAAAAATGATACAGTTAATTTGATTAGTAGTAAAATATTAAATTTAAAGTGTAACTTTATGGACATGAATGGCTGCTAGTTTTGCCTGGGCAAACATCACTCTTTTTTTCAAAAGATTTCACAAAAATCTTGTTAATACTTCACATTTCTATTCTGTCGTCTTTGTGCATTTAAGCAAAGCTCTTAGTGGCTCCAGGAGGGCTGTTTCTGCAATTAGTCTTTTTTTTTTTTGGATGAAAGCGTTTGCTAAATGTTGAGTAATTTACTAACAAGTGTGATGGGAGCCACTGAGGCATTGGCCTTCAGCTTCACAAGAACTGACTGAAGTCATTTTATCCAGCTGAGATTGTATGAGCAACATCTAGCTGCTTTCTGAGATACCTTCTTTTGCCTAAATCCTAAGACAGCATGTACTGTATACATATATAACATACAAAGCATTTCCAGGACACATTCCAATGAGCTGTGAATAAATACATCAATTGTGGATGTAGTGGAGTAAATAATTTTAAATATAGTTTACATTTTGCAAAGACTTAAATAATTAAGCAGTTGAGTTTTGCTATATACTATACGTCAGTATACTTTTACTGTATGTCCAACTTTATATAAAGAGCTGGGCGATAATATAGTTGACATTTTGTGACAATATAAACAATCAAGCAGTTGATATTTGCTGTACAGTATACATTGCTTTACGTTAGTATACTGTATGTATAGATATACAGTATATACCCAACTTTATATATTGAGCTTTGTGATATTATATTTTACATTTTGCAACAAAATTGTATTAGCTGAATTTTCAACGTTTTATTTCTAATGTGTTTTTAAGTAGTATGGACTTATAATATCAGCTATTTATTGGTTATTAACCGTGTGTTAAATGTTTTACTGATATTTTCCAGAATTTCTAAAAAGTATCAACAAAAATAGTTTTCAAATTTAAGATCAAATATTATATAAAACTATTGAATGTTTTATTCAAGTATCACATTGTTAGCTTAGCCACATGCTGGAGTCTGGATGTTGTTAAATGCTATCATCAAATTCTGTTGGAATCAATTGTAAGTTGATTTTTGTGTACGCTTCACGTCAGTATTGCTCTTTTGCTGCTACTTGAAAAGCATTCTAAAATGACCACTGCTTTATGCAACAGATCTTACAGGGAATGTATGTCTTGTGAATGTGCAATCAGTTTAATATGACCAAAGACCACATGGAATGTTTGTATCTTTATAACTTACAATATTCATGTAGTGTGAAATAACTGTGCAATACTGACATGAAGGTGACTTATTTTTTTTGACAAATATGAGTCTTTCCTTTCACATTAACTGGGTGTCTAGGGGCGTAAGTGTGTATTTGCAGATTTTCTCAGAATTATATTCCATATTTATTATGGCCTAAATGTTTTTGCCATAGCCCAAGGACAGTCCTTGAAGTCGCTATGAAAGCTTTGTTTCCTTTTTCGTTTGAGCATCCTGACTTTATATATGGTTCACAATTTTGGGGTTAGTAAGATTTTTTGGTGGAGAAATATATACTTTTATTCAGCAAGGAGGCATTCAATTGATCAAAAGTGACATTAAAGCATTTTACACTGTTACAAAAAAAAATCAATCAAATCAGCAAAATCAATTAAAAAAAGCGTTTCATCACAAGAATAAATTACATTTTAAAATATATTTAGATATTAAACAGTTATTTTAATCTGTAATAATATTTCACAATATTACTGTTTTTACTGTATGTTTTACTATATTTTTGATGAACTGAATGCTCTTTCAAAAACAATAGAAAATTCAAATTTGTGTGTGTATACAGTGCCCTTCATTAATATTGGCACCCTTGGTAAATATGAGCAAAGGTGGCTGTGCAAATATATCTGCATAGTTTATACTTTTGATCTTTCATTAAAAAATTTACAAAATTCTAACCTATCATTGAAGTAAAACAATGGAACGTGGGGGGGTCTCATTATGAAATTAATGTTTTTTTCTCTATTTCATGTTGGCCACAATTATTGGCACCCAGTTATTGCAATGTCCTTTTCCCAAGATAACAGCTCTGAGTTTTCTCCTATAATGCCTGATGAGTTTGGAGAGCACCTGACGAGAGATCAGAGACCATTCCTTCATACAGAATCTCTCCAGATCGTTCAGATTCCCAGCTTCATGTTGGTGCTTCTTCTCTTCAGTTCACCTCACCGTTTTTCTATAGAGTTCAAGTCAGGGAACTGGGATGGCTTTGCAGAAGCTTCATTTTGTGCTCTGAGACACATTTTGTGTGTTGATTTTGATGGGGGTTTTTTTTGTATTTTTGTCCTGATGGAAGATTCAACCACGGCCCATTATACGATTTCTAGCAGAGTCAGTCAGGTTTAAATTTGAAGAGTTCAGATACAAAAGTCTCTAAGTGCCATCTGAAATTTTCTTCTAAAATTTGCATTTTTATCAGGCTCCTGTTTAGGTTCAGTAATTTTACTTTAATGGCAATGTATAGGTCCTTTTCTATTCCATTAAAGTGAAGTAACTGAACATAAATATAGGAGCCTGATAAAAATGCTCATTTTAGATGAAAATTTCAGACGGCACTTAGAGGCTTTTGCATCTGAACTCTTCATTTTTTTTTTCTTTTTCTGAACATGTGACTGGGACAGTACATTACATTTGATTAAAAAAAAAAACTTTGAAGACTTTGCCTCATTTTCATTTTCACTGATTCTCACATTCTGTAGTCTCTGATGAGATTCTCAAAACATTTGCTGAAGATGGGTGTCGTTCAAACACATGATTTTAGTTTTCTTTGGTATGGGCACAATGATGGATTTTTTAAAGCATGAGGGAACCACAGACAGAGAGAGGGAAAGGTTGAAGATGTGTGTGAAAACGACTGGCAAGTTGCCCACGCAAGCTCAGAGTACATGGCCTGCGATGCCATCTGGACTGCAGCCTTGTGGATATTCACCCGTCGGAAGGATAGGCACAGACGGAGAACATATTAACCGCTTCTGCATAAAGATCCAGCAGTATATTTAACTGTGGGCATGGGGTACTTTTTATCCTTGTTGCACAAACCCCATCTGGTGGGTTTGCTGCCAAAAAGCTCTATTTTTTTTTAGTTTCCTCTGACCATAGAAGCCAGTCCCGTTTGAAGTTTCAGTCATGTCTGACAACTGAATATGCTAGAGTTTTTGGATGAGTGAGGAGGATTTTTCTTGAAACCCTCCTGAACAACATGTGGTGATGTGT